AATGTCTTATTAGCCCACCCTCAATCAAAGAAATATAAAATAAGATTTAAAGCATCATATCCTCCGCCTAAAAGATTGTCTTGAGATCAATGACTTAATCAATGTGAAAGTGATTAGTAAATAGCAAATAACCACATCATAAGAAGTTATTCTTATTTTATTAATGATAATAACCCAGGTTCTACTTCAGTCTGGCAGGGCCATCCTGTCACAAAATATGTCACTGTTTGAAAATTCTACATGAGCAATATTTTAAAAATCCGGATGAATTTCATCAACCCAGAGTAATTCCAGCATCAATGAAAACAGTATTCATATTTAGGATTGGATAGAGAAGGCTGATGTTACTAGAGAAAGAACTTCAGGGCCTTGATGAATGCTCATGGTTAGATGAGTGACTTCCTAGTAGTGGTGATATTTATTTCTCCAAGTCTAACTGCTCAATTCTCCTAGCAGTGTAAGCGCTGGAGTGATGACCCAGGGAATCATTTTGTGTTTCCTTGGATGGCTATTACGTACCGTGCAAGCCATTGCTTCTTTTGAAAAACTGGGTTACAGCTTTTGGTCTTCAATTTGATTGACAAGTGATCCTTGGCAATTCACTTTACCTTTAGCTTTGTTTCCTCGTCTATAAAATGGGATTAAAATAATAATTCTTATACCACAGTTATCACCAAGATATAAAAATTAGTTTATTACTTTACTGTTTCTCCTGAGGCTTTATGATACATCTTTCATTTCAAAATTATTTTAATGCAACGTGGCAGGATTATTAAAAGGAAAGTATTTTATTAGATATAAAGAACATGATAAGAAAAAGAAACATATGGGATTTGTGTAAAAGATCATGAACCGAATGAATCTCAGAAAATAGTAACTTTTTAAATTAATAAATATTTTTCTCCCTCAAAGTGTTTATCTCATATTATGTTTCTATTTTCATGATCTTTTCATCAATTATTTCCTAAATTCAAAATTTAGATTGTAGAAGCTAGGATTGAGATTCGTGGGAGGAAAATTACCAGGTTTGATTTCTGAGTATCCATCTAATTAGGACAATTGACAATTTGTGCTCTAGCTTGGGAGTAACTTTTTTTTTAATTCAGAAACTGAGAAATTCTAAAGTTACACACAAAGGGTCAAGTCCCCTTGTGATATTATGGGGAATTATCTAAGAACTGGAGACCATTTCTCTTTATAAAAGGGTAAGGAAGCCAGGTGCAGGTCATACCTGTAATCCCAACACTTTGAGAGGCCAAGGCAAGTGGATGGTTACAGCCCAGGAGTTTGAGACCAGCCTGGACAACATGGCAAAACGCTGTCTCCACAAAAAAAAAAAGTGTTTATATATATATATGTGTGTGTGTGTGTGTGTGTGCGCGCGCGTGCGTGAGCGTGTGTATATACACTTATATACATATGTGTGTGTGCGTGTGCGCGTGTGTATATACACTTATATACATGCGTGTGTGTGTGTGTGTGTGTGTACACACAAATTAGCCAGGTATGGTGGCAATCTCCTGTAGTCCCAGCTACTCTGGACACTGAGGTGGAAGGATTGATTGAGCCTGTGAGGCAAATGTTGCAGAGAGCTATGATCACGCCACTGCACTCCAGCCTGGGAGACAGAGCAAGATTCTGTCTCAAAAAAAAAAGGAAAAAAAAATGTTCACACCTATGCAAGTCCTGTGCCATGGTAAATAAGCAGATAGTTCTGGGGTCAGATCACCGGGATTTGAATACTTATGTCTTTGCTTACAAAAAGGGAAACCTCAAACTTTCCACTCCTCGGTTGGTTTTCTCCTGTAAACAAGAACTGTCATAATATCTACCTTATAGATTTTATGTGAGAAGAAAATGATAAACAGCACGTGTAAAAAGCTTCATGCATTCTCTTGAGAAGCCAGCTATTTAATGCACTTACCGACTTCTACCTAAAAGGATTGGCTTAGGTTTGCCTTCATCTGATACATACCTGTGATCCATGAGAATGAGACAACAAATGACCAATCTAAGCTCCAATCACTCATGAGGCTATAAAACATAAAGTTCACAGGGGAGCAAAAGTTTTTCTTGTGTATTCTTATCCTGATGTTCCAGAAAATCATTTGCACTACATAAGTTAAGTTGATAACCAGTCTGTGGATTCCAAGCTAATAAAATTGCCAAGAGGCTGCCACCCTCCTGGCTTTGAGTGTTAAACTGGAGAGAACTCCCAATACTATATATTCCATCCACCTTATTTCCTGAATAAGAAAATGAATCCCTTAAAATCTTGTATTATTTTTTTATCTTTGTTCTATTACCCACCAACTCCTTTTACTACAGGCATAAACAAGGAACACAACAAGGAAATAATGGAAAGAGTTGAACCAGAAGTCAATTCATTTTGGTCCAAATCCAAATGGTGCTGAAATGCTTGAGTATGAGTGCTGTCTTCTCATCCAGTATCTCCTCTTGAGGGATGAAAGTAATTCTCTCTCAAGAGCTTCTGAGAGTTAAGAACAACCAACAACCACAAAAATCATTTCCTGTGAATTCATCTGTAATAAAACATCTAAAGGGAAAGGGACCTACTTGAAGGTTCTTCCAGTTAATTATAGCACAAGGCATAAAGGGTGACTTTGAGAGAACCAATTATTGTGGTATGCTAAAAGCAACATAAATTGACAGAGTCTATGAATTCTCTGCCTCAACTCACTATGCACAGGATGAGCGCTTTCCTACCAAGCATAATGTTCCATTACTCAAGGGATGAAAAAGTGAGATCAGAAATTAAATTTTGCAGCACTAAACATAACCTTGGCTAGTATTTATAGATATAGAATAGTGCACAGAGGAAGCTTATTATTCTTTGTTTTTTATTTTCCAATATGGTGGAACCAATTTGCCCCGGTTTACCTGAACGTTTCCAGGATTTAGCACTGAAAATCCCCAGGTCCCAAAAACTCTTGAGTCCCAGTTAAACCAAGATGACTGGCAATCATATTTCTCAAATCAATTTAGTCCTACTCCTAGGCATAACTACAAAGTAATTTTGAGGGTTCCAAAAACTCCTTCACAAAGAAAAGCACCTTTATGAGTTTGAAACACAGTATTTGAAAAGAGATAAATAAAATTATATTCATAAAATGATTCAAAATTCTCCCTATGGCTTTTTAGGTCTGCATAGTTGTTCAAACATCACATGACATCAGCAAGACAATCTCAGACCTCTTCTGCCTTACTTTAGGGAGAGGCTACAATACAGACCACTTAAATACATCCCAATAATTGCTTTCATGGAAGAAGCTATGAGCATTATAGGAGGACAGGTGGAATATACCTGGAAGGGTTGAGAAAAACTTCCCATATGAATGACAGCTAAATTGAAATCTTAAAACAAATACATTCTTCTTTTAGTGCTAGAAGACACCAAACAAAGCCTTATGCTGAGAGGGACAACTGGGCACGTGTTTCTTGTTTGTTTTTTTAATATTATGCAACTTAAAACAACAGACATTGCTGGGGAAAGGAGGTGCTCCAGAGTGACAGGAGGAGAGACAATGAGAAAGAGACCAGTGAATGCACCAGAAGGGACATAGTTGGTTCCTCCAGGACAAACTTTACCCTTTTATCACATTTGTTTTGATTACCTCTGGAAAAAATCTAGTCACTTGAGCCATTTTCCCTCAAGCCTAAAGTACCCAAATGCCCTTCCCATTTACAAGGAATCTTCAAAAAGTTTATGGAAAATAAGTGTTATGAAAAAACTGTGTATGGACTTCCACATTTTTTGCACCAAGCCAAATTCATACTCACTTGTTTAACATGTTTGAACAAGGTCTTGTTTGAGGCACTAAGAAGGATAAGACATTAATTTTTTAAAAGCCCCAATAGATGCAACATGAATTCTACTAAAATTGAAGCAAGAACAAACATTAAATTTTTGGTAAAGCTTGGGTGGAGGAATGGTGAAATCACTGTGGCTTTATGAAAATTTTATGGGAACAATGTCCCGAAGAAACCAGCACTTTACAAATGGGTAATTCTTTTTAGGAAGGAACAAGACAATGTTGAAGATGAGTAACAGCAGACCATCCATATCAATTGGCAAGGAAAAGATTAATCTTGTTTGTGCCGTAATTGAAGAAGACTAGCCATTAACAGCAGAAGCAACAGCCAACACCAAAGACATCTCACTTGGCTAAAATTGACATCTCAATGGCTACCTCTTGGTAGTCAAGAGCAAAGGTTATGGCAAAAGTGGACCAAGGAAAAAGGTGATGGTAACAGATTTTTGGGATGCTCAAGGCATTTTGTTGACTTTCTGGAGGGTCAAAGAACAATAACAATGACTTATTATAAGAGTGTTTTGAGAAAGATAGCCAAAACTTTAGCAGAAAAATACCTGGAATGGCTTCAACAAATAGTCCTTCCCCATTACAACAATGCTCCTACTCATTCTCTCATCAAACAAGGGCAATTTTGTAAGCATCTCAGTGGGAAATCATTAGGCATTCACCTTACAGTCCTGACATGATCTCTTCTGACTAATTTGTGTCTTAGAGTCTTAGAAAACTCTTTAAAAGACACCCATTTTAGTTAGTAATGTAAAAAAGATTGCATTAACATGGTTAGATTTCCAGGAACCTCAGTTCTTTAGAATTGAACTAAATGGCTGGTATCATAGCTTACAAAAGTGTCTTGAATTTGATGAAGTTTATGTTGAGAAATGAATTTTATATTTTTTATTTTTATCTCTTAATCCCATATTTCCATTTACGTTTTGAAGTCTTCTCTCAGATATCTATTAAACTCAATTCACCCTTCAATGCTCCTCTGGGCATCTCCATTTTCAACAAATCTTCCTTTGTCTTTGCATTATTCCTGACCTTCATCTTTCCCCGCCTCCAAACTCCTCACTATGTGTGTCACATATTTATGAGTTTTATCACATTTGATTTCCAGTATTTTAAAATTATTATTCATTAAACCAACAACGTTTTTTGAGTACTTACTATGTGCTAGGCACTCTTCCAGGTAACTGCTAAAATGCAGCGAACAAGTCAGAAATGATCCCTGGTCTCCTGGAGCGTATAGTGCTTTAAAAAAAAGAAGAAAAAACAAAAACAAGAGTATAAGCAAAAATGTATAGACCATGTCTTTATAGACATCAGTTGTATCCTCTACAGTGTCAACAAAAATAGCTGTGGTACATACTAGGCAATTAATAAATATTTGTTGACAATTAATTAAAACACTTAGTAGTGGAATTGTTCATATTAGGAAACAAAAATAAAAGCAGTGTAAAAGAAATGGTATAAATATGGAGGTTATTCAAGGGTCCCATTAAAATGTGATGATAGAAGTAACCATCCCGGTTCATCCGCCAAGATGGCCAAATGGGAACAGCTCTGGAGTGCAGTTCCCAGTGAGAGTGACAAAGAAGGCAAATGATCTCTGCATTTCCAGCCAGGGTACCAGGTTCATCTCAATGGGACTGATTGGACAGTAGGTGTAGCCAAGGAGGGCAAACCGAGTCAGGGTGGGGCACTGCCTCACCAGGAAGTGCAACGGGCATGAAGGCTTTCCCTCCTACCCAACAGAGGCCATTGAGGACGTTTCTGGCCACTCCAGAGCTCCAGTTTGGATGCTGCACTTCTCCCGCAGTCTTTGCAACCCACAGACCAAGAGATTCCTGCCTGCTGACAGGTGCCACGGGTTTCCAGGGCAAATCTGGGCCAGCACTGTGAGTTGCCAGCACAAATCTGAGCAGCCGTTTTGACTGGCACCTCCTGCGAGACACAGTGCCCCATACCCCTGAGAGAAAGGGGGCTAAAGGCGGGGAGCCAGGTGATCTGGATCCGTGGGTCCACCCCTACGGAGACCATCAAACTGAATCTCGCTGGCTTGGGATTTTCACAGCCAATACAGCAGTTTGAGCTCAACCCTGGACAGTGGAGCTCTGTTGTGGGAGGGGTGTCCACCATTACCGAGGCAGCTCTAACCTTACCTGTGTAAACAAGAGCACAAAGAAGTTTACACAGCAGCTGGGGGAGCCCACAGCATCTCAACAACACCTCTGCAGGCAGAGTGTCTCTAGACTCCCTACTTGCTGGGCAGGGCATCTCTGAAAAAAGGCAGGAGCCTGTCAGGGACTTATAAATAAAGCCACATCTTCCCAGGACAGAGCACCTGGGAAAAGGAGTGATTGTGAGTTCTGCTGCAGCAGACTTAAACGTCCCTGCCCAGCAGCTCTGAAGGGAGGAATGGAGCTCCCAGCACAGCCCTTGAGCTCTGACAAGGGACAGACTGACTCCTTAAGCGACACTCTGACTCTTTTATATCCCAAGAGTCACTTCACAGAAGAGAGCTCTGGCTGACATCTGGCAGGTACCATTCTGGGATGAAGCTACCAGAGGAAAGAACAGGAAGCAATCCTTGCTGTTCTGCAGCCCCCATGCTGTTCTGCATTCCCAGGCAAGCAGGGTCTGGAGTGGACCTCCAGCAGTCCTGCAGCAGAGTGGCCTGACTATTAGAAGGAAAACTAAAAAGCAGAAAGAAACAGCCTCAACTACAACAAAAAGGACATCCACTCAGAGACCCCACCCGAAAGTCACCAACTTCAAAGACCAAAGGCAGATAAAATGCCTCTTCTCTCCCAAGAGATCACAACTCCTCACCAGCAAGGGAACAAAACTTAATGGAGAATGAGTTTGATGAACTGACAGAAGCAGGCTTCAGAAGTGGGTAATAACAAACTTCTCTGAGCTAAAGGAACATGTTCTAACCCAAAGCAAAGAAACCAAGAACCTTGAATAAAGGTTAGACAAAATGCTAACTAGAATAACCAGCTTAGAGAAAAACATAAATGACTTCATGGAGCTGAAAAACACAGCATGAGAACTTCATGAAGCATACACAAATTTCAATAGCCGAATCAATGAAGCAGAAGAACAGAGATTGAAGATCAACTCAATGAAATAAAACGAGAAGGAAAGATTAGAGAAAAAAGGGTGAAAAGAAATGAAGAAAGCCTCCAAGAAATATGGGATTATGTGAAAAGACCTAATCTACGCTTGATCAGTTTACTTGAATGTGATGGGGAGAATGAATCCAAGCTGGAAAACACTCTTTAGGATATCCTGGAGAACTTCCCCAACCTAGTAAAGCAGGCCAACGTTCAAATCCAGGAAATACAGAGAACACCACCAAGATATTCCTCAAGAAGAGCAACCCCAAGGCACATAATCATCAGATTCGCCAGGGTTGAATGAAAGAAAAAATGCTAAGGGTAGCCAGAGAGAAAGGTCAGGTTACACACAAAGGGAAGCACATCAGACTCACAGTGGATCTCTCAGCAGAAACCCTACAAGTTAGAAGGGAGTGGGGGCAATATTCAATATCCTTAAAGAAAAGAACATTCAACCCAGAATTTCATTTCCAGCCAAACTAAGCTTCATAAGTGAAAGAAAAATAAAATCATTTATGGACAAGCAATTGCTGAGAGATTTTGTCACCACCAGGCCTGCCTTACAAGAGCTCCTGAAGGAAGCACTAAATATGGAATGGAACAAGTACCAGCCACTGCAAAAATGTCCCAAATCGTAAAGACCATTGACACAATGAAAAAACTGTGTCAACTAATGGGCAAAGCAACCAGCTAGTATCAAAATGGCAGGATCAAATTCACACATAACAATATTAACCTTAAATGTAAGCAGGCTAAATGCCCCAATCAAAAGATACAGACTGGCAAATTGTATAAAAAGTCAAGACCATTGGTGTGCTATATTAAGGAGATCCATCTCACATGCAAAGATACACATAGGCTCAAAATAAAGGGATGGAGGAAGATTTACAAAGCAAATGGAGAGAAAAAAAAAAAAAAAAACCAAAAAACAAAAACAGGTGTTGCAATCCTAGTCTCTGATAAAATGAACTTTAAACTAACAAAGATAAAAGAGACAACAATGGGCATTACATAATGGTAAAGGAATCAATGCAACAAGAAGAATTAACAATCCTAAGTATATATGCGCCCAATACAGGAGCAACCAGATACATAAAACAAGTTCTTAATCACCAACAAAGAGTCTTACACTCCCACAAAATAATAGTGGGAGACTATTAACACTCCACTGTCAATATTAGACAGATCAACAAAACAGAAGATTAATAAGGATATCCAAGACTTGAACTCAGATCTGGACCAAGCAGACCTAATAGACATCTACAGAACTCTCCACCCCAAATCCACAGAATATACATTCTTCTCAGCACCACATCACACTTACTCTAAAACTGACCACATAATTATAAGCAAATTACTCCTCAGCAAATGCAAAAGAATGGAAATCGTAACAATCAGTCTCTCAGATCACAGGGCAATCAAATTAGAACTCAGGATTAGCAAAATTGCACAACTACATGGAAACTGAACAACCTGGTCCTGAATGACTACTGGATAAATAATGAAATGAAGGCAGAAATAAAGATGTTCTTTGACACCAATGAGAATGAAGACACAACATACCAGAATCTCTGGGACACATTTAGAACAGTGTCTGGAGGGAAATTTATAGCAATAAATGCCCAAATGAGACGTGAGAAAATATCTAAAATTAGCACCCTATCACCAATATTAAACGAACTAAAGGAGCAAGAACAAACAAATTCAAAAGTTAACAGAAGACAAGAAATAACAAAGATCAGAGCAGACTGAAAGAGACAGAGGCACAAAATACCCTTCAGAAAACCAGTAAATCAAGGAGCTGGTTTTTTGAAAAGACCAACAAAATAGATAGACTGCTAGCCACACTAATAAAAAAGAAAAGAAAGAAGAATCTAATAGATGCAATAAATAATGATAAAGGGGATATCACCACTGATCCCACAGAAATACAAACTACCATCAGAGATTACTACAAACAACTCTATGCACATAAACCAGTAAACCTGGAAGAAATGGATAAATTCCTGGACACTTACACCCTCCCAAGACTAAACCAAGAAGAAATTGAATCTCTGAATAGACTAATAACAAGGTCTGAAGTTGAGGCAGCAATTAAGAGCCGACCAACCAAAAAAAGTCCAGGTCCAGATGGGTTCACAGCTTAATTCTACCAGACCTACAAAGAGGAGCTGGTACCATTCCTTCTGAAACTATTCCAAACAATACAAAAAGAGGGAATACTCCCTAACTCATTTTATGAGACCAACATCATCTTAATATCAAAACCTGGCAGAGACACAATGAAAAAAGAAAATTTCAAAGTTCATCCATGATGAACTTTGATGTGAAAATCTTCAATAAAATGCTGGCAAACCAAATGCAACAGCACATCAAAAAGCTTATCCATCACCCAAGTAGGCTTTGTCCTGTGGATTCAAGATTGGTTAAACTTACGCAAATCTATAAATATAATCCATCACATAAGCAGAAACAAAAACAAAAACCAATGATTATCTCAATAGATGCAGAGAAGGCCTTCAACAAAATTCAACAGCCCTTTATGTTAAAAACTCTCAATAAATTAGGTATCAGTGGAACAGATCTTAAAATAATAAAAGTTATCTATGACAAACCCAAAGCCAATATCATACTGAATGGGCTAAAACTGGAAGCATTCCCTTTGAAAACTGGCACTAGACAAGGGTGCCCTCTCTCACCATTCCTATTCAACATAATATTGCAGTTCTAGCCAGAGCAGTCAGGCAAGAAAAAGAAATAAAGGGTTTCAATTAGGAAAAGAGGAAGTCAAATTGTCTCTGTTTGCAGATGACATGATTGTATATTTAGAAGACCCCATTGTCTCAGCCCAAAATCTCCTTAAGATGATAAGCAACTTCAGCAAAGTCTCAGGATACAAAATCAATGTGCAAAAATCACAGTCATTTCTATTCACCAATAACAGACAAACAGAGAGCCAAATCATGAGCCAACTCCCATTCACAATTGCTACAAAGAGAATAAAATACTTAGGATTACAACTAACAAAGGACGTGAAGGACTTCTTCAAGGAGAACTACAAACCACTGCTCAAAATGAGAGGACACAAACACATGGAAAAGCATTCCATGCTCATGGTTAGGAAGAATC